CGAGTTTCCTGTGAACCGATAGCTCTTCAGGCTGTTCTGAGACCTGTTTATTTTTTTCTTCGAGCAAGATTCCTGCCTGTCTCGCAGTGACCCCAAGATAAGGAAGGTATTTCAGACTCTGTGGGTGGGTGAGTCAGGGGTCTTTCCTGAATGGCTCGGGCTGGGCTGAGGGTTTAAGGGCACGGCCAAGATCTGGGGGGAAGGAGGACATCTCTGCTGAGAGCTCGGTGCCCGAACAGTAACGTTCACCCTGCTGGATGCTGGCTGTCTAAATGGGTGGTCTTCCCCTCCTCAGAGCAGAGACAAGGGGCTCCTGGGGGGCTCAGTCAGCTAAGGGTCTGCCTTTGGCTCAGGTCATGATCCTGGAGTCCTGGGATCAAGAACCGGCACTGGACTCCCTGCTCCGTTGGGAGTTTGCTTCTCCATCTGCCTCTCTCCCACCGCCATGCTCTCTCTCAAAAAAATACATTAAAAAAAAAAGAAAAAAAACAGAGACAAAATCAGTTGAGATGACCTATCATTCGTTGCCTCATATTTTTCCTTAGATGCAATGCATACCTAGGTCCCTATGTGAAATAATGATCCTTTCAGTATCCTAGGTGACATCATTTGGGGATTTGTTGGGTGACTTCAACTGTGGCTGGTAAAGAAGAGATAACAGAATGAAAATATTTGTCATGTGAACCTCTCACTATCTTTCTTAGTCATAAGTGTTCTGATGCGGTAGTGGGAGTACAGAATTCTCTTATGACTGCTCTAGACATCAGGGATGGAAAATTCTTAGGTCATTCAGTTTACCCTTTAAGACTTGCAGAGGATTATGGCTTTCTGTTCATCTTCTGACTTCCCCCACAAAGTGGTGGCTGAAGATCTTGGTGTTGGGGAGATGTTTTCAAAGAGCCAAGCCAAATGGCACCCTTGTCATTCCATGGAATTAACCACCTCTAGCAGGAGAGCCATGCCCAGACTCTCAGCCATTGGTTTTCCTTCTGACTCTCCACGGAACAAAGAGCAAGTCCCTTAAATATATTCTGATGCCTCCAATTTTTGTTTTTGCCAGCACCTTCTAATAGCAACAGAATGTGAGGTGCATATGGCATTTAAAATGTTCTAGAAGTCAAATTTACAAAGTAAAAAGACCTGAGTGACACTAGTTGAATACGTTTTATTTTACCCAGTACATTGAAAAATATTATAATTTCAAGGTGTAATTAATATAAAAATCAATGCGAAAACTTACATTCTTATTATTTATACCAAGTCTTGAAATCTAGTGTGTTCAACTGCTCCATCACTGGTAGACAGAGCGTTCTGTATCATGGAACTCATCCGTGGCTTTTTTTTTTTTTTAATTAAACGAAGTCTTCTAATTGTTCAAAATAACACAAAATGACATCATACAATGGTGATACTGAGTCATGGGGGTTACTTACAATAAATGATTGGGTCCCATTCCCAGAACGAAGAAAAGTTAATGTCTATTGCTTTTTGAGGAGTATTGTACAGATTTGGGGACCTGAATGAGTATCTGCTTTGTGACAGAGGCGGTAAGGATATAGAGTGATGGCAAGAAAAAATATAAAGAGGTCTTTTCTCACCCCCCTTCATCTCCTGGAGGTTCAGATAAACTTCAAAAGATCAGGGAAGGCACCTATGAATTACAAGAGACCATGGAGACAAGGCCAAGAATAGGTCAGGGCAGTCAGACATGGAAAGGGAGATGCCCTAGAATTAGCAAAATCAGCATACCAGGGGTGTGAAAAACTGAATGTGTGCTATGAGTAAGCCGCTCTACTTGGAGTGGTATTTTACCAACCCGCCCAAGTAGCCCCCCAGATGTCATGAACTCATCTCGAGAGAAGTCATGAAGATGGAAGTGGTATTTAAAGACCGAGGCACGTTAAGAAAGAGGCTGAAATGCAGAAAGGGTTTGTTGTCATCACAAGTACAGGCAGGAAGGTGGTGGCTTGGACGAGAATTGACACATCCATCGTTATCTTTCTGGCCTTGTCCAAGGCGGAGGGTGTTCTGGCCAGACCACATGCACATTCCAGGCTGCCTGGCAGGCAGACTGTCGGCAGAGAAGGCAGCCTCCACACGCAAGACAAGTCTCTGTCAGGGAGATCCCACGTCCTTAGCTCCGCCCGGGGAAAGGCAAGTGCTAACCCTTGTCAGATGCCTACTACGTACCAGGCTTCTCGATGATTCTTCTGTATTGTATTAGTTGGCTGGGACCGCCATAACAAGATAACACAGACGGGGTGGCTTAAACACCAAAAACTTATTTTCTTATGGTTCTGGAGGCTGAAGTCCAGATCAAGGTCCCGACAGGGTTGGTTTCCTCTGAGGCCTCTCTCTTCAGTTTGCAGATGGCTATCCTCTGCGTGCATGTGCCCCTGGTGTCTCTTTCCCTTATAAGACATTAGTCATACTGGATTAAGGCCCTGAAGGCCTCATTGTTACTCAGTCACCTCTTTAAAGACCTTCCCTTCAAATACCCTTACATTCTGAAGTCCCGGGGGCCAGACTTTCAGCATGTGAATTTGAGGGGAACACGATTCAGCTCACAACACAAATACTTCCCATCTTACAGATGAAGAAACTGAGGCCCCGTGAGGAGAAGGGACTTGCTTGAGGTCAGTAAACCAGTTGAGACACAATCTGAATCTCAATTTAGTGTTCTTTACACAGGGACCACTTGGTTTCTTGAGGCAGAATGAGGTATCTCCACTAGTGCTAAGACATCTGGAAAACATGAGTGTTCATTGCCCGCATGATGACTTGGGTGTCACAGGGAGTGGCGGGAGTGGGGGTGTACACGGTACAATGATGCAGTGGAAGCAGCTTGGGGACTGGAATCTGGAATCTGGGTGTGAGTCTTGGCGACGTCATGTACTATGTGTGTTGCTAAAGCCTGTTGCCCTAAGCTTATGTAAATGGATATTCAACAAGCACAAGTGCTTGTCACTGAGCATACATTCTCCCATCCCATGTTTGCAAGCCTGTGAGGAAGATACTATGACCAGGTCTATTTTCCAGTTGAGGGAAGGAGGCTCAGAGGGGGAAAGTGACTGATTCGAGGTTATACAGCCAACAAGGCCTAGAGCCAAGACTCAAACCCAGGTCTGTAGATTCCAAAACCAGTAGAGTGAACCATTACTGGAACCAGGAATGGGACCCAGAGTTATAAAATTTTTGCTTTTTCAAGAGAGGAAAATTCTGGATTTTCATGTAAAATCTCCAGAGTTTTAAATGTTGATTAATTCAAGTTTCGTAGAGACACTAAGCAGATCAAAGCCCATGAGGGGACTTCAACTTTATAGTGCATTGGCTCACACGAGTATATGAGGACTAGATAAGGCCAGATTTCTTACCTGTCCTGGTAGCTCATGATTCTTTGATGCCATTTGGATTTTATGAAATAGATTTTGTTGGGTACAGCTGTTGGGCATGGATGACCGGATCTGAATGTGTACCCTGACCATCAATAAACACCTGATGAGGCAAATTCCTTAACCTTTCTTAGGACAGTTTCCCTGTCTAGAAACTGGAGATTGTACCTCGCACACTGAGGTGAAAATTGAGATAATATTTGTAAAGTGCCTGGTGAGTACGTGGTGGCTGATGAGCAAAGCGTTAGCACTCAGAACCACTGGCGTCTCTCTCCATGAGAACCCCCGCCTACATGTAGAAGGCCTATGTGGCAATTGGAGGGGCTATAGACAGGGCTGCCACTCTGACAGGTCTCAGACCCACCCAAGGTTCTGCCGTCTTACCTTCAGTTTTTGGAATTGCCAAGAGTTTTTTCGGTTTTTGGTTTTGTTTTTAATGCCACTGCTCGAGGGAGGGAGGAGTTAATAACTTAGCAGGAACTATTTGGTGTTTATTTTCAACAAGTTTTAGTGAACATTCAATGCGGTGAAAGAGATACAGTTTTCAAATTCAAAACTGTGTAAGAAATACCTGGGGGGCTGGGGCACCTGGGGGCTCAGTGGGTTAAGCCTCTGCCTGCAGCTCAGGTCACGATCTCAGGGTCCTGGGATCGAGTCCTACATCGGGCTCTCTGCTCGGGAGAGAGCCTGCTTCCCCTCTCTCTCTGCCTACTTGTGATCTCTCTCTCTCTGACAAATAAATAAATAAAAATCTTTTAAAAAAGAAAAGAAATACCTGGCGGGGCCTGTTTATAATATGGGTTCTGAGATGCCACTCCCAGAGAGTACAATTTAGTCAGACTAGAATTCGGATTCCTACTGCTCTTTGGGGATGCTGAGGTGGGTGGTCCCTAGATCATATCCTGAAGCACATTCCTGCCTGGTAGGACCTCCGGAGCTGTCTCTCCACCCATGGTCCCTCCTATAGGGTGGCTGCAGCTGGGCCCCCACTCAGGGTGGGCGGGGGCAGTCCGCAGGGCAAGGAAGGCCTGAGGGAGTCTATCCCAACAAGATGGGCTGAAGTCAAATTCCTTACAGTAGAACCAGCCGGTTCTTTCTTAATACATTCAAGTAATTAAAAAGGGACCATTTCAGTGTCCTGAAACAAGCAAGGATTGGCAAGATCAGAATATGGTGTGTTCTGACCTCCCGGCCTCTAGTTCCATCTGTATAAATAGCGCAGCGCTGACAAAGCTGCCACGAAGGGCTTCCTTTTTCACCAGAGACCTTGGGCAAGGCAGGCGGTTTCGCCCATAATAAAGTCACCAGCAGGTTTGCGGCCGTAGCAGGCCCCGTCATCTCTGGCTTCCCACCCACGCACCTTAGCTTGGCGGCTCCGTCGTATCCCTGCGGCCTCGCTGCAGGGAGGGGCTCGGGGACTCAGGGGGAGGAGAGGTCAGGGCCAGAAGCCCACTCCTGCGCCCAGGGCTGGACACCTGCTCCTGCCCGCCTCGGGTTCGGGTCAGGGCTGCCTGCCTGAGCTTCGGCCGCTGGGATCCGGACTGTGACATATGCTGCCCAGGTTTTTTGTTTTTTTTTTTTTTTTTTCCTTTCCTCCAGCAGCATCTGGAGGAGAAGCTGGGAGGGTCCCAACCAACCACAGGGCGTTCTCTGGAGGCCCAGCTGAGGCGCGTGGGCGGAAACGGCCCCTGGTCTCCGCTTGCTTTCTGTTTGAAACACTCACGGAGCACACCACAAGGTTTTTCAGAGGTTAGACAAATTTGCATCCTTCTCTCCCAAGCTAGAGGAAGTGCTGGAGGAAGTCATGTATTAAAAGAATGGGGCGCAGGCTTAGGTTAGGAAGAGGGACTCTTTCTTGGCAGCTTTCCTGCTGGCTAGAACCCCCAGTTACCTTTAAGCCATTAACCCTAGAGGATAGGGATGGGGGTGGGGTGGACCCATTTGGAGTTCATTATCGCAGAAAGCCTGTTCTCTTTCTCTCTTTAAACCTGAGCTTTAAGCTGATCAGCTGCCGTTGTCGGGCGATTTAGCTCCCTGGGGACAGCAGCAAATCACAGGGCCGCTGCTCTTAGCATTGCCAACACAGGGCACCGAAGGAAGGTCCTGGCCTTGACCCTGGGTGGGGGGGGGGGGGGGGGGGGGGGGGGGGGGGGGGGGAGAGGCGGTCCTCCGCTGGCCCTTTTGCTTTCGCCTGGAGAACATGGACGAGCTTGTCTTTGATCCCTTAACCGGTTCTGCACTCTTTTCTTCCTGTCATAAATCCAGTGACACGATATATATTTAAGGGTGAGTCAAACCTCAAACTACATTGCCCGAGAGTGGAGCTGCTGCAAGGAAAGTGGTTAAATTATTGGCATGAGACACAGGACGCCGGAGCCTATGGCGTGGAGAAACCACTAGTAAAAGTGGAAGGAAACGACTTTTGAAGATAGTGCTACCTGTGCTAAGAAACCTCAAGTGCTTACCAACCGTTTCTGATCAAACCTGAAAGTAAGTCTGTGCCTGTCGTGGGATGTCGGATGTCAGGAGGACTCATGGGGCCCTGTTCCGGCTCAGTGTTCTGCCTCTCTTGCGCCCCGGTGGTGGGATACCGAGGTCCCAGCTTGCCCTTGGAACTCTCTGGGCCAAGCATATCCCAAGCCTGGTTGAAGGTCAAGTTTGGGGTGTTTGGGAGGATGGGGGTCTCATCCAGCCATACTGAGCTTTCTGCCCTCCCCCATCTCCTCTGTGGCTCCCCCTACAGCCTCGGGGGCTCATTCACTGCATCCTGGATTGTCCCCTGGTTATTCCAGATTTTTCTCCACTACAGTGCAGTTTGGGCGCCCCCTCCCAAGGGCTTGTTGCCGAGGCCACCATCTCTGCCCCCCACTTGCTTTCACATGCCAGCCGTGTGCTTGGCACGATAAAGACCTTCCCAATAACACCTTCTCCCCTTGTTGGAGTGACTGGGGAGATGGAAAGCAAACATCTGTCCCTCCTCTTATATAACCCGACTATTTCCAAGTTTCCTCTGCCCACTGAAACAGCCTGAGCTGCGTTCCTGGGCAGGGCAGCAAATCCAGCCTCTTCCCCCTATCTGTGAGGCTCCTTCTGGGACAGCTGAGCAATGTGACTCACCCCACTGGCTTGCTCCAGAGGCCCACTGCTCAGGGCTTTTCCCTGGCCGCCTCTGGACATGTTGCAGCTGCCAACCTTTGCTTCAAGGGCTCCCACCTGCCCGCTTCTCGGGGAAGGAAGGATCCTGGAGCCTCCCTCCCACTCTCCAAGAATGGCTAACCTGAGGCTCTTGTGTTGAATGAACTTTTCAGGGCTTGAAGATCATTGAATGGAATTATAATGCAGAAAATGGAAGCAAAATCAATATGGGTATTTATGGGCTGAAGGTTTGTGTGCCCTTCAAAAGCCATATCTTAAAGCCTTAACCCCCCAAGTAGCCCATTTGGAGATGGAGATTTTAAGGCAATAAGGTTAAAATGAGGTCATGAGGGCAGGACTCTGATCCAATAGCATTAGTGTCTTCTTTTTTTTTCTTTTTAAACTATTTCCAATTTAATGTGATTTTCTTTCCACTTCTTTTTTTTCTTTTCTTTTTTTTTTTTTTTTTTTTTTAAAGTAGGCTCCACACCCAGTGGGCTTGAACTCATGACCCTGAGATCAAGACCTGAGCTGATATCGAAAGTAGGACACTTAACCGACTGAGCCACCCAGGCGCCCCAGGATTGGTGTCTTCTTAAGAAAAGGCACCAGAGAGCTTGCTGTCTCTGCGCATGCACACATTTGGGGAAAGGCCACATGAACACACTGTGAGAAGACGTGCTACCTGCTACCCAAAGAGGACGGGCTCACCAGACGCCAACCCTGCCAGCACCTTGATCTTGGACTTCCAGCCTCCAGATCTGTGAAAACTAAGTTTCTGTGGTTTAAGCCACCCAGTCTCTGGTACTTTGTTCTGGCAGCCCTGGCACTCTGGGTTCTCCCTTCAAGCTGCCCCACACTCACTGCTGACCCTCTCGTGTGTTCACTCTTGCCTGCCCCTTGACTGGTCAGCTCACGAGCTGGCTCAGCAACCAGCAGTCTCTTTTGCCTGTTTCCTGGCCCCAGGCAGAAGGAGGAAAGTGCCATAAATCATCTCTACAAAGATTCTCCCCATCCAAAATGAAGATGGATTTTTATTTAACATCTCAGTCTGAAGCAGTTTCATCTGGATGATGCCACTGGGTTTTCCAAGAACCAGCCTTGCTGGGGAAAGGGAACATCTCCCTAACAGCCTTCCAGAATGCAGAAAGCGTGACAGCTTCTTTTTCCCTTAATGTTAAAATTTTTTTAAGATATTTACAAAATTGATAGAATAGTACAGGGAACACTCACATACCCTTTACCTAGACTGAACGATTGCTAGCATTTGCCTTGTTTGCTTTATCTGCATATATATATATATATATATATAATAGATACATATCTATCTATCTACCTATCTATATATATATAGATATAGATATATCTCTGTGTGTGTGTGTGTGTGTGTGTGTGTGTGTCTGGCTCATTTAAAAGTAAGTTGTACACATCATGATACTTTATCTCTAAACACATCAGCTTGCACCCCCTTGCAGTGAGGACAATTTTACAACTCATGACACCATTAACACCTAGGGAAGGCAGTGTCAGACACCCAGCTTTTACAATAGCCCTTTCCTCATTTCTGCTTTGCCGTCCTCACACTTGAGGTCACAGAGCAGTGTGTGGTATCAGTTCTTGGGAAATTTCAAGTTTCCCATCCACATGGGGAATCTCCCTGTCCATGTGGGGAAATAAGGTTACTGGGATCTGAAGTGTAAGACTGACTTACAATCAGAGCAGAGATGGGTAACCAGAGTTACCTTAAAAAACAGAGGGGCTGCTAGATCTTTAACGTATGATGGTGTGTCCAGATTAAAGGTAGTAAGTTATCCAAAGAGGGAAGAAACCCATCTGGGTCAGAAAAGGCCAGGGTCCAGAGCACAGACGAAACCCAGAGGTGGAGGTTACAGTGTTCATCACAAGCCATTAAATTTGTCTGCTCTCCTGGATTGATCCCAGGGAGCAGGTGTCTGGGCTTTCTATCCATCTGATCAAACAAAATACACGTTTTTCAAGGGAAACCTGGAAGCGTCTATCAGGGTCAGGAGGCTGTGAGTGGGAGCTCAGTGCTTCCGATCCTTGTGTGGTAGGAGAGCCACGGAATGGATATTCCAACTTAGCAGAAATGTTCTCCCTGTGGCTCTCGAGGCACCAGCGAAGCTTGGTTTTCAGGGCAAGCTGTGTTTCTGGGGTGCTCTCGCCGTCCCGCGTTGTGAGAAGAGTAGGTATTTATGGGGTAGGTGGTAGGGCTGGGTAGAGGTGAGGCACCCAAATGTCAATATGTAGGTGGGGTGATTCGGGGTTCTGAGTAACAGCAGGAAAAGCCGCCCCGGGGAAAGAAGGCTCGGACATATTTCTACAAAATACTTTTTTCTCAGTGTGAGGTGCTTTGTCATTTTCCATGGGAGGTTTGGGAGGGGGCTTTCGGGTATGCCCTGGAGGGGGTCCAGGGACAGCAGAGAGGGGAGAGGCTCTCTGTTCTGAAGCTGGACTTGCAGTCACGCGGATTTAACGGTGTGCACTGTGATGTCTGTTGACCGCCCCCCCATCACACCCCCCAAGGAAGCCTCAGAAGCCTGTGTATAAAAGCTGTGGCTGTGAAGCCCAGAAAGATTTTTCTAGGACATCTGCCAGCGACAAAGCCTTGTCAGAATATGGATTGTAGGGTTGCCTGGGTGGCTCAGTGGGTGAAGCCTCTGCCTTCAGCTCAGGTCATGGTCTTGGGGTCCTGGGACCGAGCCCCACATGAGGCTCTCTGCTCGGCAGGGAGCCTGCTTCCCCTTCTCTCTCTGCCTACTTGTGATCTCTCTCTCTCTGTCAAATAAATAAATAAAATCTTAAAAAAAGAAAAAAAAAAGAATATGGATTGTATTTCCAGGGAAAAAAACGTGGTGGGTGGGAATACCATGAATCGGTTATTCCAGAGGGACTTTGCACCTTCTGGAAGATGGTCTTACGCCCCATTCAGCAGGTTTGTTGTTTGGAAATGAGGACACATGCCTTAGCGTGTGGGATTTCTATTGAACATGAAATGGGACCCCAGAAGTACTAGTTAATCCCTAAGTACTGTCCCTGTAAGAATGGGCCTTGGCTAATGGATTTCTAATATTCCAGTCCCATTTGAAAGGCCCTGTCTGAGGGAAGAAAGGTGGTCTGGCTCTCCGAGCATGACGTTTACAGGTGGGATTGTCTGTGTTCCCTTCACTCAGATTCCATGCTGGAAGAGCAACAGTTTTAGCTTTCGAGGGCTACTGTAACAAAGTATCATAAACTGGGTGGTTTCAAATAACAGAAATTTATTCCCTCCCAGTTCTTGTGGCCAGAAGTCTGAAATCAAGACGTCTGGAAGGCAAGCTTCCCTCTGGAGTCTCTAAGGGAGAAACCTTCCTTGCCTCTTCCAGTTTTTGGTGTTTTCCAGCAGTCTTTGCTGTTTCTCGGCTTCTAGATGCATCTCTCTGATCTCTGCCTTTGTCCTCACAGGATGGTGATGTCTGTAGGTCTGTGTCTCTTCTTACAAGGACAGTAGTCGGAGTGGACTAGGGGGTCACCCTAATGACCTCATCTTAACTTAATTAGACCTGCAAAGACCCTATGTCCCAAACACACATTTATAATTAATGGGGTTCAGACTTCAATACCTCTCTTTGGGGGGACCCCTAACAGCAACGCTTACATTATGATGTAGCTTCCTTGAAGACTCCCTTCTTGGAAAGACTGTCTTGGTCATACGTCCTTGAAGTATTCTAATTTCTGTGCCAGTGATGTCTTATTGTAAAATTTATAAATCTGACTTAGAGAATGGTTTTGGTTTCCATAGAGCTAGGCTATAGGAAAGTAAGTCCCTGATGATATGTGGACCAGGATTTTTCATTTCCAGAGAGGGTGGTTTCTCAGTGTGAGCTAATGAATTGCTTTTCTGCTTTGATTCATCCTGTGATCTGTCTCGGCTCTGAGAGGAGCAGCCTGCCATCTCTGTGCCACCAAAACCAAATTTCTTAACTTTGGAGGCTGAGAAATACACTTTGGGCTCATCTCCCAAGATAATGTCCAACCGTATTCCCCAAGCCACCAACCCAATACTACATTTGTCTTGTGGTCCAACGTGAGGCCCGTTACTAGTCTCGTTTTAGATTTCTAATATATGGGCTTTTGTTCTGTGTAAGGAATAAGAATTCCCAAGAGAGTTTGATTCCCTTGGTAAAGCAAACAGAACTCCCGAACACAGACAAAAAGAATTGATTAAAACCAAGAATGCTTTCAGATCTTGTCTCGGATCCAAACTTCGTAAGCAAACAGAGGGTTTTTAAAGAAAATTGGTAAGATTGTTGGGATAATGAAATAGCCCAATACATCAGTCAAAAGAACCCTGATCACGGCACCGTTTCACATCTCTGAGGTCATGAGATCAAATTTCGGTACATTCATTCTAGAGGACAGAAGAGTTTTCTTCTCCACATTTAAGCCAATCAGCTAGTGAGGAAATGCAGCACATATGAATAAATTTTATGACAGGCAACGAGTCTGGCACCTTCTATGACAATGAACCAGAGACGCCTATACCCTACTGGGCTGAGGCAGGAAAAGTTGTGATGGAAACAGTGGCTGTGCTAAGATGAGGACCAAATGGCTGATGGCGCTTTTTGACAGGAATGGGTGATGTAGGAATCGACTGGCAGTGGGGACAGTTATTAGTTGACAAGGGTCCACACCGCAGGCAGGCTTGCCTGAGGGGTCACACTGCAGGGCAGCTGGAAGGTTCGAGTGTGCACAAGAGAATCACCAGGACAGCTTTTATTTATTATTTATTTATTTTGAGAGAGAGAGAGAGAGAACGAGAACATGCAAAAGTTGGGGGAGGGACAGAGGGAGAAGCAGAGTCTCCTGCTGAGCAAGGAGTCCGCCATGGGGTGGCTCCATCCCGGGACCCCAAGATCATGACCTGAGCCGAAGGCAGACGCTTAACCGACTGAGCCACCCAGATGTCCCCAGGAGAGCTTTTAAAAACACACGTTCTGATTCAGTACATCTGGGGTGAGGTCCATAAATTTGCATTTCTGAGGAGGTGGTCTGTGTTGCTGGTCTGTGAACACCATTTTGAGTAGCACGGTACTAGCAAACACTTAAAGGCTGGGAGTGGTTCCTGGGGTTGATTTTCTGTGGAAACGGCAAGTCTCCAGAGAGAGAGAGAAGCTCGGGAAAGCGGCGTCAGGCTCTGTATTGGTTCTCGTGGTACAGCTGCTAAGAGCAGACATCTGAGAGCCCAAAGTCCATGACACCTTGCAGGTGTGAAGCTTCTATGGGTTTCCAGGGTTTTCCCAGTTGGGCAACACCTCTCTGAGGGTAGAAAAGTCAGATGGTTTTAAGTAGTTCTCTCTTTTCAAAGAACAATGTCTGGGTTAGTTGGATTGTAAGTTACAAGGACCTATCGGGGAGAATTATTTTGTCATCTCCTCTCGTTTGGTATTGCCTAGGCAGTGAGCGTTATTATTATTAAATAACGATGAAAGGTGTAACCACCCTTTGCGGCCTG